TCTCGAATTCGGCACTGATTGTTAGATGTAGATAATGCAAATGGAAATGTAGACTCATAAAAAATGACATCCCGTGACACAAAAAAAAATTTAGATTCAAGATCATATAATATGTATGCCTTTTGAGTAACACAATAACCAAAAAATACACAAGCAATTGACTGAGATGAAAATTTATCATGATTATTGAGCTTAGTGGCATAAGCAAGACATCCAAAAACCTTAAGATGATCTATTGAAGGAGATGTGTCAAATAAAATTTCATATGGTGTTTTGTTTTTGAGAATGGGAGTTGGAATTCTATTAATGAGACATGATGCAGTTTTAACACATTCTCCCCAAAACTTTGAAGGAATAGAAGCTTGATGCATAAGTGCTCTAGCAATATTCAATATGTGTCTACGTTTTCTTTCCACCAAACCATTTTGTTGTGGAGTGTACACACACGATGTTTCATGGATTATTCCTAGAGAAGCAAAGAAACTTTTGGTGTCATTGTTAAGAAATTCCAAGCCATTATTAGATCTAACCTTTTCAACATGAGTTTTAAATTGGTGTTCAACCATTTTAATGAATTTTTGTAACAAAGAGGAGGCTTTAGATTTGTAAGACATCAAAAAAAAACCTAGGTGGCACGAGAAAAATCATCAACAATAGTTAAAAAATATCGTGCACCATTGTGAGTGGGCTCTTTATATGGACCCCATGAATCTACATGAATGAGCTCAAAAATGCACTTTGTAACTGAATGACTATGTGGGAAAGGCAATTTGGTTTGTTTTGCCAAAGGACAAATCATGCATTCAGTTATATTACAATAAGCTAAATGTGGTATAAGTTTCATTCTTGAATTTGAAATATGACCGAGTCTTTTGTGCCAAAGATTGGACTCAGTATATGATGAAGAACAAGTCAACATGTTATTCATATGAAAAGAAATTGCATTACATGAATCTACATCACTACAATCAGAATAAAAAAATAGAACCATTTGAAGTAGTGTGAAAATTACTTATTTGTGCAAGATTACAAGTTTCATCAGGAAAAGATTCAAGTTGATAAAGACCATGCTTGACCTTACCAATCCCCTTCAACACTCCACTCGAGAGGTCCTGAAAAGTGCACAATTCAGGATTAAATGTGACATTGTAGTGGTTTTCAGTTGTGAATTTTGACACTAACAAAAGATTGTATTTGAAATCTGGGAGACAAAAAGCTTTATCTAAACGTGACTAAGAATTTAATTAAACTAAAACTATATGAGTAATAGGAGTTTGTTTGCCATTTGGAAGAGATACTAATGAGTCAAAATCAAAAGGAAAAGACACACATGATTTAAGAATATTTTTGTTTGATTTCATATGATGACTTGCCCCAGAATCAATAATCCAATTAGTATTATTAAATGAGCTTAAAAGACTAGTATACGTACTCGCTAGATTTGCATAATGCTGCATGTTTTCTTTGCCAAGCAACTTAAGGAGTCTATTATATTGTTCTGTAGTTAGAACAGGGGTTTGTGTCTGCATTTGCCTTTGAGAATTGCATATTACATATTCTCAACATTTTGTATTCTTTTTCATATCAATAGAGATTAATGGGCATAACACTCAAGAGGTAACCAAGTGTAGCTTTCACACTTGCTACTACGCAGTCCTCTAAATGGTAGATTTTCCAAGGATAAAGAGGTCTCTACATCTTAGAAAATTACTCAAGTATGATTTTCACACTACAAACAAGGTAGCTCTTCCACATGGTGACAATAAATATGCACTAAGCACTCAAAGATGAAGGAAAGTCATTATACTTCTTGAGGTGAAAAACAAGGTGGAAACATCACTCACCACACACATTTCAAAGAGAGAAACAAATCTTTATGACACAACTCATATCATATAAACTTGTAACTTTAAAAACTAAGAAAATTTTTCCTCATGACATTATTAAATAGAAAAACTCTACTCAAGTTGAGTTAGTCCAACGGACTTCCTCAAATTCACAAAAGTTTGTAAGTCAAAAGCCTTTGTAAATAAGTCAGCAAGTTGAGACTTTGTGTTTACATGTGCAAGTGAAATGACCTTATCCTCAACTAAGTCATGAAGATGACCATCTCTGTAGGTAACCTGACCATTTTCCAAGCATTCAAGCTCAACTAATAAAGATTTGTTACCTGTCATGTGTCTAGAATAACCACTATGAATTTGAGAGGCAGGCAAAGAGGTATGGGAAACAAGACAGTCAGCACTAAGCTTGGGTCTCCACACTTTTCTATTTTTGAAAAAAATTATTTTGGTTTGGTGACACGAGAGACTGAAGTGGTGACCTTACAGAATTAAAATCATGATTTCCAATGCATCTTTTCAAATATGAAATGAGTTTAAAGCAGGTTGGTCTAATATGACCTTCCTTTTGACAAAAATGACAGATTGGAATGAATCTTTTTACCTTCAAGGTCTGATCACATGGGGTAGCAACAATTTTCAGAATTGATTCATAAACTTGACGAAGGTGGTCACACCAAGTTTGGAGGTGCTCACACTAGAAGAGAATCCCAAACCCAATTTATCACTAAAGATCTTCCCTTTGCCAAGAACTTCATCAAGCTTGTATGAACCTGTACTTAACCTTTCAAAAATGGTCTTGGCCTCAGTTAGTTCATTTAAAGCTTGATTCAACAAAGTTTCCTTATTGGATAAATCAGATAATAAGGCTTTCAATTCATCATTCAAAATCTTCTTATCTTCTTTCAAGGAAGATTTTTCAGATTCAAGAGATTTAATCCTCTTGATGACTTTTAACCAAGCCTCATACATTTTGTCATAAGCCACTTGGTGCTCTTTGTAGACATTACTTGAGTCATCCGAGGACACATTATCATTGTCCTCTTGGCTAGCCATAAAGGCCAAAAAGTGTTCATCCTCATTGGTGTCATCACCCCCACTCTTAGTGTTGCCACTCTCACACAAGGTGGTAGTCATGGCTTTACCACTTTTCTTTAGAGTGTTTGCACACTCTGACTGAATATGGTCGTAGCCCTCACACTCAAAACACCTAATGTCTTTGTTCTTCTTTTCATTTTCTTTTGAAAAGACACCTTGATCAAAATGGTCACCAAAATGTTTAACACAAGACTGTTTGCCTTTTCTAGCCACATTTGGTTTTCTCATTTTCTTTTTCAAAAAAATTTCAAAGTTTTTTTATGAGTAAGCCACATTCATCATCATCCACATTGTAAACCCCACGTTATTATTTCGATGCCCTAAGGTATGAAATTCTACCCTTTCAGGTAATTTTCTTTTTTTGAATGGAAGGGTAAAATTGTCAATTTGCATGCATTTCGAGATGTGGCCATTATAAAATGTAAGGAGTGATGTCATTGAAGAGAAATGAGGTAGAATGGTCATAAAGTTGATTGACAGGGTTAAATGGCTTAAACGGTAACCAAGGGTATAATGGTCTTTTCACACAAATCGATAAGAATTAAGTATCCCTAAAAATGCACCAATGGTAAATTAGTCATTTACCTAATGGGATTGCTTAATTACCAAGTTTTTAAAAGAAGTCAAATGGCATTAAATGAGTGTTAATCATTATGTTGTGGTAGAAATGACCAAAACACCCTTATATGAAAAATTTATGCCAAATGACCCTTATATCTAACTTTTAATGACCAATCATAACAGAGTAGTAATGAAATAAATATCTAAAAGGTTTTAAGAGAGAGGATTTGGCCTTGTACACTCCAAATTCATCATCTTCTTCTTCCTCCCTCAATCCACCATAAAAGCCACTAATCCAAGCATTTTCTTCTCAAATTTTCCTAGGGTTCCAAGCAATTTCTTGAAGGAGATCAAGATACACCTTAAGGAGATTCAATTTGAATGGTTAAGGTAATCCCTAAAACCCTAGCTTGATGAGTTTGAATGTATTAAAGCAATTTCATGAGTGTTAATGGTTGTTATAGGTGAAGGTGTTTATTTGGAGCCAAGGAGGAGTGTTTCTTTTGAGTTTTAATTGCCAAGGTAAGGGGAAAACCTCCCTTTAAACTATGTTATCAACACCTAAGGTTAGTGAACCTTAATTTTTGTTATGTTAATTTGATGTAAAAAGTTATGGTTTGTTTATGTATTGTGTGAATTGGTGTTGGTTGAGGTTGTGTTGGAAAAGGAGGAGGATATTGCCACTTAAGAGATTTGTAGTTGGATGATGATTGGCACTTGTTTGAATGTGAAAGGGAGGGTTTTATGTGACTTTTATGACTTGGTTTGTGTTTGGGAAATGCTTGAATGATAATTGAATAATGGGCATGCAAAAGAATGCGGCATCCACATTCCAAATAAAAAAAAAAAAAAAAATTCTGAATTTCTTTAGAAATTTGGTTAAGGCACTAAATAAATCCTATAGCCTAACATGAACAAGAATTGTAAAAGACAAAATATGATCTACTGTTATCAATAATGGTGTAGTATTGCTTGTTGTCAACACGCAATATCTACTGTCGATGCTTTCTTGTTGTAGGGCGGGGAGTTTTCTTAAACCTTCTATGTAATATCTAATTGGTTCCTTTTTCATCCAAGACACTGAACTTGTGGGCATCGAATCTACTAGAGACCAATTGATCGGTTTGTTGGTAAGTGGAACATCCAACCGTTCAGTGGTTGCTGTTGTGAGTGAAGGAGGACGTGGCAAGACCACTCTTGCTAGGAAAATTTATACGAATGATACAGTGAAGAAGCATTTTGATTGCTAGGCTTGGATAACAATTGGGAAAGAATACTTGAAGAAAGATTTACTAAGGAAAATTTTACAAGAACTTTACCATTCAACAGGGTCCACTCTAATGGAGGCAGATAAACTGGAAGAGAAGAATTTGATCACGATGTTGAGGGAGCACTTAACGGACAAGTGTTACATGATCTTGTTTGATGACGTGTCGAAAATTGAATTTTGGAGAGATGTAGAGCATGCTTTACTTGATAACCATAAAAAACAGTAAAGTGATGCTAACGACACAAAATAAAGCAGTTGCTGAATTCATACCGTTGTCAATAGTTCATTTTCACATGCTTGAACCCTTGTCTGCAGAAGATAGATGGGAACTTTTTTGTAGAAAGGCATTTGGCTCTGACAGTTATTGTCCTCCAAACTTGACGAAATTATCAGAACGTATTGTTGGAAAATGTGGAGGTCTACCTCTAGCAATTGCTACGATAGGTGGGCTTCTCTCAAGAAAAAACAAGATTGTTTCTGAATGGGAAAATATACTAGATAGTTTGGGCTCAAAATTAAGCAGTGATTCCCATCTTAGTGATTGCAACAGAGTTTTGTCTGAAGGTTATTATGATCTTCCTTACTATCTCAAGCCATGTCTCTTATACTTTGGTGTGTTTCCAGAAGGCTACGAAATTACATTTGGGAGATTAATTCGCCTTTGGATAGCTGAAGGCTTTGTCCAATGCAACAACGACCTTCCATCTGAGCATGTTGCAGAAGAATTAGAGGATACGTTGGTTACACTAGTAAATATTTTTCATCTCTTTCGGCAAAAGATATTGAGGAGCTTATTGAAGAAATTGAGGCCGAGTAACGAGTAGCCCCATCACTCACATAATCAATAGGTCAATCTCCTAAAACAAGTAAACCTTTGAATAATGTGTTTCTTTTAAATTCACTTCTCTGCTATTAAATATTGCAGTTTTTTTTTTTTTTTTTTTTAATGAGTAAACAGATAAAATTTTTTCTAAAAATAATTTAATAGTTGGATTAGCATCATTCTAATCTGGTAGTAATTGTAATTAATCATCAATTATCTGAATTTTTTTTATAAATACATTTTTTTATTATCATAAATAAAAGTACTCTTATAATTTATTTTATTTAAAACATTATTAAAAAAAATTACTTAATTAATTGATTAAGTTCTGACTGTTGGAATTCGGTATCGGCAGCCGTGGGTCTGTCGTTAGAATTTGCTTTGGCGATATTAGATAACAATATTGGTATCAAAATAATTCTATTTTAACGATCTATCTACATCTACAATTATTTTTAGCAATATATTCAATGAAATTATCAGCTTTTTTTTTTCTTTTTTTACATTTGTTTTTTACTTATTGTATGAATTAATTTAGCTGACTGACGTAAATCTTCTATTATCATGAGCAGATAAAGAATGATGCTGATGAATCTATCTTTTCTAGTGATCACCTGGGATGATTGTGGCTTTTTCTTGTAATAAAGGTTCTATATTGCTTGTAATTCATGAGTGTAGTGTCATCAATAATGGTGTAGTATTGCTTGTTGTCAGCACGCAATATCTACTGTCAATGTTTTCTTGTTGTAGGGCGGGGAGTTTTCTTAAACCTTCTATGTAATATCTAATTTGAAATGTGGTTGTTGTTGCTACTGTTATGGTCATTTGTTGTCTGTCTATAAAAAACATCTCCCCTGTTTTACCCTGTTTCAATGGATGTAGTTGGTTTTTTCTATGAACCTGCTTTTACATAAAATCAATTTTATAATATATATTTTTTTAATCTCGATAGCATGAGGACAAAGAAAATCACACCAGGAAAAATGGTATAAAAGAAAATTGGAGAACCCATTAGGATATCTGGCTTTTTCTAGGTGATAAAAAAATTAGGGTGCCTTATTATTCAAATTAATGTTCTCTACACATTCTTCAGTCAGCATGTTTTCATAAAGATAAGACAAAGCCGCGTGCATCAAATTTTTGATGTACACAGAACAATGTATCCATGAGCAAACATCTTAACCATGGAGTGATCAAGAAAAAGGTTATTAGAGATGGCAGACTTTACAGTGAACTTTGCTATAGAAACCTTGGGCTCCTTGCTTGTCCAACAAACCAAGTTGTTGAGAACACAACTTTACCAATCCAAATGATATATGATGCAATGAAAGAAGAGCATAAGAGACATTTCAAATTTTCTTTGAGAGAAGACCATCTACTGCAACAATGGCAATTGGTAAGCTTCTCTACTTAGATGACTACATTTAGAGAAGACCACCTACTGCAACAATCATACTTGTATTTATTAATATGCTTAAATGTAGTCATCAAACGGGTCCCCTGTGCACCGGTAAGCTTCTCTACTTAGATACTTTGAACTTGCAGCATTCCCTTATCAGTGAGCTTCCCATTGAGATCAAGAATCTAAACAAATTCCGTTATCTATCTGTATTCAGGATTGTCAATTATCATCGCCAAATGGCAAAAATATCTGAGGGGTTTGGTTCTTTAATGGATCCGCAGAAGCTATATTTTGTGCATCCTAATTCTGAAGCACTCAAAGAGCTGAGGAAGTTAGGCATTAGGGTAACGAATGGAAATGAAAAAGATCTCTTTTGCAGGCCAACATGACTTATCCTAGACTTAGGGCATCCTCTGTTTGGAGTGTGGAGTACTAGCCCAATTGATATTGATTGAGGCCCAAACAGAAAACCGCATTAACTTTGGACTTTCTTGGACGCGGTCCGACCGGTTTGTACCAGAGTTTTTACCAACCTTCCTCCTCGTACTGGACTGGTGAGTGGCACTCTCTTTCTCAGAATTTCTAAAATTCCCTCCCCATTTTTATATTTTCTTGATGAAATAGCACATGGCTGCGTTTCTTCTATTTCTTGGCTTGCCTGTTCAAGATCTTCCGCTTTACCCTCTAAACCCTTTCAACTCTCTGGTATTTTATCTTTTTTTCCGCTTCCTGCATGTTATATTATGCTCATGGATTATTCTTCTTTTTAAATTGTTGGGTTTATGTGCTTTTCCTGGACTTGACTGCTTGTATGCTTGGTTCATAAGTTAACTCAAGAAAGTGAGAAAAAGTAAATATTCTTTTGTCTTGGTGTAATCTCTACTGTTAATAAAGGCTGACTGAAAGTTTTAACTTAAACCGCACTTAATTTTCCAATTCAAGATAGACTGAGAGTTTGTATCTCGTTTGAAGTCAAAATTTTAGGTTACAATGGTTTTCACTTGTTTGTATATTATTGGATCATATGTTTTGACGACTGATGTATGAAAGCTTTAGATTTTCTTTCTTTCTTCTCATTATTATTTTCAGAGGTTTTGTGGTTAGAATATTAGAGCTTTTGGGGTTTCCTATTATTTTGTTGATTTTTGCAAGAATTGGGTGTTAATTGGGAAAGTGGTTTTATTCGGCAAAGTTCCGTTGTTGATGATTGATTCTAACAGGGTTTAAGATTAAAGTTCCGTTGTTGATGATTGATTCTAACAGGGTTTAAGATTGTTGCTATATCTTTATGGCTTATATTCCACCACACAAGCGACACTCAAAGTATTCAAATTATCCATCTCCAACTGCAGAGCTGCTTGCTCCACATTTCAAGAGAGATTTGAACTTGAGATCATCTCAGCATAATGTAGACAGGGTTCAAAAGATTATCTTTGCAGACCAATGCGTATACAGATGGTTCGTTATTGATTTGGATGATAATCACCAATTTCCTTCATTTGTCCACCTTGAGCCGATTTCAGAACCCATTGAGCAACTATAGGAGAAAAGTCCCTCATTTTAGTGAACAATCATGCAGATAAAGGTGGTGTTATGCCCTGTTTAGTATAATCTTAATGTATTATGTTTTTTTGTTTGAATTTCATTCTAGTGTTTAAAGTAGTAGTGTTGATTGTTTTCTCTCTTGTTTGTAGGTAACGAAGAAGTGGGAGGGAATATATCAAGACGACCTCGGGAATTTGTTGCTAAAACTGCATGGCGAGATTTATTGACTTTAACAATCTGAGGAACAAAATGGAGTGCAAAGAACTGGAGAAGGTAAAGCCAATATTGGTCGCTAGATTTGGCAAAATTCTTTTTCGTGGGTAAAAATTGATTTGCTTCATTGGCTTGAATGTTATATAATGCGTCCTTGATTTCTCATTCTTTAGGAATGTTACATAAGCCAAAATGACTGATATTGTCACGAAAATCTTATAGAATCTTATGGTCAATTAAGAATTAGCAGTTGAAATAGAGGGAAATTATATGGTTGTCCACTACCTATTCCCACGGAATCTCTGAATCAGAAACTCTGGGTAATATTTCTTAAAAAGCAAAGTAAAGAAAATTAAAACAATGATTTATCATGCATGCTACCTCTTGGCCTTGGAATTGGCCACTTTTTTTTGTTATGACTTACTAGTTCACTCAAACCCGTCGTTTGACTTCCATTGTCCTTTGTGAAGACAGAAACACTTTGCAAAAGCACATATATAGCATTGCTGTTGATGCCTTGCCTTACCTGAGAATTGCTTGATTGTTGGTGCTAGTAACTCATTTATCATTTCCCCTGCCTGACTTTTTCTTGACTGACCAGTCGCGTAACGTATTGAATTGGGAAAACAATCAATCTGTAGGGTGACCTATTTCTAGCGATATAATGATGATACTCTATGTAACAAAGGTATTTCCCCTTCTAGTCATGTATGCAGCTCAATTAGTTTCTAATGTGAAGCAAACATATGTACTAATAGTTGGTGACAAAAAATTTGGACTAAGCAGCTATTATAAGTGAAATTGTGCCAAAACTAGGAGTTGATTTTGAAGCAGATTAGGATGTATACTATATCTGGGTAATTGTTCTTCTAAACACCTGTCTATTGCAATCATCTTACCTGTACTTCAGATAATATAGCTATTGACTTAAATTTCACTGTCTAGGTGATTGACAGCACACGACGAAAGTCAATCTTATGCAAATGTAGAGTAAAAGAAGATAAAACGTTTGAGCTCTATAAGGCAAGTTTACTGTTACCTACATGCTTATATATGTGGATAATATATCAGGTTTTGCATGAATGTTGCCATTATTTTAACCTATTATAAAAATAAACCAGTGTTGTGCAAATAGGATGATGGAGGTCGATGCTTCAATTTGATAATCATGATTCTTAAACATTTAGAGTTGGTTGCTTTAGAAAAGTCAATGAAACAAGGCCTTTGCTAAAGTTAATTATACCAGGAACTGTAGAGGTAAACGAAGCTGTTAGCGGTACCTATATCTATGTTTTTTGAATAAAAAGAAGATGGATTGAACTGAGTTTGTGAAATGTATTTTGATTTAAAAGTGATGGAACTACTATAATATAAACAAGAAAAGATGAAACAGGGCCTCAAGAATGCGGGTGCGACCTATCAGAGGTTGGTCAACCGAATGTTCTCCGACCAGATCGGGAGGACAATGGAGGTCTATGTAGACGACATGCTGGTCAAGTCCCAGGTCGCCTCAGAACATATTACGCATCTCGCTGAGATGTTTGACATACTCAGGCTCTACAGAATGAAGCTGAACCCTCTCAAATGTTCATTCGGGGTATCGTCAGGAAAATTCCTGGGGTATATGGTCAACCAGCGGGGCATAGAAGTAAACCCCGAAAAGATTCAAGCTCTGCTCGATATGGAAAGCCCGACCAGCAAAAAGCAGGTCATGAGTCTGAACGGGCGAATAGCGGCACTCAGTCGCTTCATATCAAGGCTAACAGACCGGTGTTTACCATTCTTCAACGTTCTGAGGGCCAATAAGAAATTCGAGTGGACTTCCGAATGCGAGCAGGCAT